ACTTATACTGAAAAAGGACTGCTTGGACGGTCCTACAGAACGAATAATAGTTTGAATAGATTTTTTTTAAACAATAAGTCAAAACTTCATTGTCAGGTCAGGAGTATATAAATTGAGTTGTGGCTCTTGCTGTATAACTGTATATTGGCCAAACGAGGAGAACTTTTTCTCAATGAGTTAAAGAGCATAGAAGTAGTTTCCTGAATAGAAAGAGCAATTACCCTTTTGAAAACCATCTTTTAGCAGTAGGACATGAGTTCAATCGCACTATGACGTACAATCTTTTAGAATTTTCAGAAATGAATAGAATTCAGAATTCAGGTCATTTACTGAATGACCTAAGTGAATTGAATAACACCCCGTTATTGAATATTTTTCCACATGTGGAAACTGGTACATAAGCTTAGGTAATTTTACTGATTACAGGTTTATTTCAATGAGGTTGTACACTTTCTCTTCTTTTCTTATGTTAAAGTTTATTGATTTATTCACAAACTCAAGTACACATCTCACATTAATTGACTTGATAAAACTCAGGTATTCAAAATTTGGAAATTGAATATGTACATTTCAGTCTGTAAAAACACGCCTGAGGAAGCTATTGTATGTCGAAACGCGTATTGCGTTTTTGTAAAACTGTTTAGTGAAAATCTCTTGTATATAGAAATTTTATTATAACAATCATTTTTATTATTTTACCTGTAAAAAAACGAAAGAGAAACAAAAAGTGGTTGCATGAAAGCTAGACAGAAGCGTACCCACATCACAGGATAGGATTTACACTATCAGGTGATAGTGTAAATAAGTGTGGGGTTTGGTGGGTGTAGATAAAGTTGTTGGAAATTCAAAAGAATATCCAACACGATTTCAATTACTAGCTTGTTGAACAAGTAATATTTTGTGTCAATTAGCGAAGGAATTCTCATTCTGACAGGTCTTATGGCGTAAGATCAGGTGATCGTGCAGGTAGTGAATTTCATCAATAAGATAATTTTATCGTTGGTCTCAGGATTTCATTTTAAATTATCTGTTGGGTCCCAATTTTGGTTTTTGGGCTTGCTATCCCCCTTCTAGTGGAGTGTATACTATTGAATAATGCGACCTAGGTAATCAGGTAACACACTTTATTCTGTCACACCTAGTTTACAGATTTCACAGAATGTCGAATACGACAATTGGTTTGATCTGTTTAATTTGATGTGAGAAACACTATTTTACACACTTATTTAAATGAGAACCTTTGATATTCTCCACAGTAAAGTAACACTTTGTACTTAACTACAAATACATATAATAGACCTTTCTTCTGTTATGCTAAAACCATACTGTCCTGAACGAGATTACTCTTAAGCGAGAGGTAAAGAAAACTGGACACACGCTATTGGTTCCCTAAGGTAGGTAGATATCCCTTTACAATTAGACAATTACACAGTGGCGTAACAGTGTTTAAGGCAACTCATTTCCAATTTTATTTTTATTTCCAACATCATCATAGACGACAGCTTTGCTCAAGTTATGGGATAGTCTGCAATTTGATTAATTCAGTTTGTGGTGCGAGACATATATGTTAAAATTATTTACAGAAATAGAAAACAATAAAATAAACTCAACTATTTAACGCTAAGCTAGCTAACGATATCTTTGATGAATGAATAACAAAAAATTCGGGAATACAGTTCAAAATTCGCCCATTGTTATAGTCAGGAAATTAACCTTTCACAATGGTTCTGTTGATTTAACAGTGGTTGATTAAAAATTGAAAAAATCTATATTTCTTTTGATCGTTTTAGTGCCATTAAGCGATGTAAAAAATCACCGATGACTGCTCACGAACAGAGCCAAAAAAGAGAAGAAGAAGCGCTGTAAAGTAAAATACTCGTTTCTTTAGTGTCGATTAAAATGGCATACACAATATGATATATTTCTTTAGTTTTCAGTGTTTCTTATTTTTGATGGTTAACGACAGGATTTGGAGTTAGATCATTATTTCTGCATATTGTTTATTAATTTTAAATATGTTTGTTCTGAATTTCAACGCAGAACAGAAATATTAGCCCGACAATGAGCCAAATTTTTTCATGCAAGGGGTAAAGAAAAAAAAGCCATTTCATCCTTTTGAATAGGACGACACTGCAAGAATAGTTTAGTGAAAACCTGAAAACATCAATTACGTAATCTTTGCTACATTTTTATCAACTCTGTAAACAACAAAAATCCGTGCCGAAAGACGACTAACGTTTCTAAAAATAACCCCCTCCCACAATCACAAAACTCTTAGAAAACCGATACTTCTGCTGACAACCCATCAAAAATTCGTTAATGAACCAACTAAAAATCCTGTCGTCAAACATCAAAAACAAGACAAGAAACAAAAAACGAAAGACATACACAGCACCGTCGTTTTCGATGTGAACGGTTAAACGTACAACTGTTTAGTGAATCCATTTTTGGTCACGACGTCCAGAAATTCGACGCCGAAACATCTGTCTCTCTCACACACCTACGACAACATAAGGATGAGGGGCTTTGCACAGCTGCCGTATCAAATAATACAACCGAGCGTTGCCAGATGCAAACAAATTGCTGTAGATTTGCAGAATTCTAATATGAATGAAAAATGTTCTAATTATGGGCAAATGGCCTGTGTAGAATATGAGCCAAAATCATGAAAAATATCTGAAAAAAGAGGAATGAAAAAGGGAGAGGAACATTATTGTAATGTTCTTGATACAGATTCACCTACATGGTGAGTCATCCTATGATTCTTTGTCTTCTTATCGCCTCCTTTCAAATTTATGATACGTTTTAGTAGCAGAAGTATGAAAATTCTTTGGAAACAAATATTTTGAATATTTGACAGAAAGAATGTCAATAGTAGCATCATCCAATCCTTAGTGATGCTTTGAACTTTGAGGCCGGTGCTTCTTTGGCCGTTTTCATGGATTTTGACGTCACGAAATCATAAAACACGTTTTGTGTTATACTTTTCGTACCATCGAACAAATCTGCAACATTGCCCTTTTTCTATTTATCGATTTGACGAGTGACAGTCCGACAACAAATTCCCCATTTGTTTCGCGAATACGATGTATGTGGCTCATTTTGTCTGAAGAATTTCGAAAATATCTCCAAAAATATCAACTGGCAACAGTGAATAACTACAACACGAAATATTTTGTAGGATGAAGGACGATGGTAAGATGTAATTAGAATTTAGGCAAATTGAAAACATTCCAGTTAACTAGATCCATTTTACACAGTAATTGTCTCTAAGACTATCGAGCTGGATGTTTACAAGAAATATGCGGAAAAAATTGTTGAAACAAAAATTCACTGTTACTTTGAATTCTTGAGAACAATTAGCCCCTATAGCGTTGGTGAGTCAGGAAGTAATACAGTGTTGCCAGATGATATTCGCAGAATTCTTTAGATGATCTGATGGAACATTTTTGTATTTTTTTTTCCCAACTAAGCTAAGTTAAATTATTTCTTCAGATCTAGACCAGACAGCACCGATGCGATTGGATTTTCATGAACAATGATTAGGAAATGACCTTCACGGCCAATAATCTCACGAAAACCAATTACAACTACGGAACCTACGTTCATATTATAATCGAGTACAGTGTAGACATTTCTTGATAAAGTGCCTCAGTTATATTCAATTCGTTTGCACAGTCATTTGGTTTCAAGCTGATAGAAAACAGCTGAACTGTCACTTGTCAAATCAATATAAACAAATCAAGGTTTTCCTCAATGTTTTCTTCGATTGCCGTGGAGTAGTACATCATGGATTCTGGCTACATTGTCGCACGGTCAAGTTATGCTCCACTTGCAATAAAGAAAACGTCCGTTATTGCTTGTTCGTGATTTTTGGTCAAAAACAACACTGTAATCATGCATCAGCCACCAAATGTACCAGATTTGACTCCCTGCGACTTTTTACTCTTCGCAAGATTGAAGTGACCCATGGAAGGACGATTGAAGAGATAAACCTTGGCACACATGTATTATATCTAGGGAGGCTACTTATAGGAAGACAAAATGGAAATTGATGGATAAATGAATATTTTTTGAAAAAATTAAAATTCACCTTACTTTCTAAAAAATATTCAAGTACAAGAAAACGATTATATTAAGTGAATTGAAAGTTAGCCTCTTAGCTAAGGAAGCAATTTTCGTCGAGAAGATATGGAGTCATAGGACAATTCATCCTATACATCAATCTGGAAAAAGAGAATTACAGTTCAATCAGTACTTAGTTGAGTATTTTTCTTCTGCTTTTTTCATATTCTACTTCTTCTGGAATGTATACTTCATTATTTTGGCTTTCACTCTTCAGGAATTTCAGATTTTGCGGCTAGTTTTTGCAGACTTCAATATTTGCAATATCATAATTTCTTCAATATATTTGCTGTTTGGGCAGAAGGGGTTGAATAGATAAACAGATAATTGGTAAATTGAGTCAAATGTTTGGCATAAGCCATCAACATATAGAACAGAAATCATCTTATTGCAACCATTCGTACTATCAGGAAAAATACAGTCCTTCGTTTGGAACCTATAGAACGTGCATTTACGAAAATTATGTCCCAACTCTCTTTGATCAAATATCACAGATCTGTAATCAAATTCTTCTAATCTAAAGATATTTCTTTGGATCTGGCAACGCAGAAGGACGTGTATTTCGGTTTTCAACGCAAAGCAACGTTACGAAACCTCGTCCTGAAAATTCACGTTAGGTAGATCCAAAAATAGGCCCCCGTATAATGTTACCCGCTCTTAGATAACCGAACAGCACTGTCGTTACTGCCCTACGAAGTTCTCAAATTGTAAACAAACCTACTTTTACGTTTCAAAGAACGACAAAGGGACAGGGTTTGAGGTTATGTCTTTGAAGGGACTTGTTTACGTCTGCAAAAAACGACATCCGACTGTCGTCATATCACAACTAGATCCCAAAGTTGACGACAAAACGGTAAAGTATCGGGCATGCTTACCTTTTTCTGTTGTTTTTCCCAGGCAGGGTCTAGGAGTCCTTCTCTCTCCCACTCCTCTTCTTGCTCCATGTAGCCGTCGTCGAGGTTGTTATAACCCTCGGTTCCTATCATGATTATATTCACAAAAAATGTTCGCGACGCGAAATATGGTTCGTTTTATGTTAGAATTCGTTCGACAGATTTAACCGCCGTGCAAAGCACACGACCTCTCGCGCACTTAACCCCACTGGCCCGAGCCCGACTCTATTCTGCTATTGCTGCTAGCTCGCTGGATGGCAGTTGGCCGTGCTTGCTCGGAACTCGCGATTAGCGCAATCGTATCGGCTTCGTATTTATAGCGAGCGGCAATTGAGTGGTGACTACGTTTACGCAGGGTGGTCTATTCAACATAAAATCAGAACGAGCAATAAAGGACAATTGATAATTGAAGTATCACTTGTTGCAGTTCTAACCTGAAAATTATTCAATCTACTTTTCATGCAGTTCCTTTATTGTCGTAGATAATTATAGTATCCATCCAGAATGCACAAGATACAAAAAAACTTTTTTACCTAGGGTTTTCTTCTACCTGGCTTATTTCCTCAAATCTGAAACTTATTATCATGTGTTTTTATTTTTTCCACGGATATTTCAAATACTATTTTAATTTCGTCATCACTACTAAACAGAAATGTTTGAAAGTAATTGATTCAATATTCATATTTTTTCTTTCCGTTTCATCGCACTATGTGACAGAATCGTGCATACCGTCTCAAAAATAGTATTTGCGAATGTTTCATATTGAACAATTTTCAATGCACATATCTAATAGTAGAGATGCAAAATGGGGATTTACTCGAGAGTCATAGAGACATATTAGGTTGCAAAGCTTCGATGATAAAAATTTTATATTATATATACCTTTTCATCGGTGGGGGAAGAGGCTATAGATTTTTAAATATGTAAAAAAATACTGTTGCATAGACACACTCGAGCGCGTCAGATATTGATAGCATCAATGTGCTACGTATTTTTAATAATGTTGGTATGGGGGTGGTTGTACGTAAGTGTTAGTGAAAAAAAAAATTAATCGAGCACGTCAGATTTTCTAAGAGGGTATTAAGTGCAACAAAAAAAACTCTCATTCCATAATCTGACACAAACTCGCGGCCATTATTATAATGTGCAAAAAAAATTGCTATTTTGAAATACTCAAGCGCGTCAGATCAAGATATATATGGTTCATTTCTATGTTCTAGACGTGCTGTCTCATAATCTGACGATTATCTAGAGGTATTCGCCTAATCTGACCAAAAAACATATTTTTCTTAAATCATTGAAATTAATTAATTGAAAAGCTCGGGAAATAGCATGCAAATAAATAAGTATTTCACTATTAATGTAAGTTACAAAAAGGATTTGAAGCTCTATAACTTTTGTTTAATTATCTGCGAGCGCTTTCGACGGCTGGTCGTGCTGTCATCCTCTAGGCCCTACTCTATCTGAACGTTTCATTCTGTTGTGTGTCCTTTTATACGGTCCGAACGCCTCAATACAGGTACTTCAGGTACTTTAGGTAAACTTGCCTGTATTTGGATTACATTAGGTACTATTCTTTGTGTTGGATCTTTTCTAGGTTTATTGTTTCTAGGAGTGTAATCCAAATACAGGCAAGGTTACCTAAAGTACTTGTATTGAGGCATTCGGACCGTATAAAAAGATACACAACAGGATGACACGTTGAGTAGAGCCTAGATGATGATAGCACGATCAGCTGTCGAAAGCGCTCGCAGATAATTAATCATAATGTAACGAATTAAAGAATTAACTTTGTTAATCAAATTTATTTTTAACAATATTTCACTATCACAACTAATTTATGTACAACACTTAGTAACTAACGCTTAATTTATCTTCACAATTAGATTCCTTTCCTTAAACGCTCGATTCACTTTCTAAGTACAGACTACTCTTTGGGACGGAGAGCGACCTTTTTATATCGTCAACGAACGTTCCGGATCTCTCTGCGGATTTCGGGACCCATCCGGACCTTTCGCGCTGTTTCGCGATGCGTAATGAGTTTGCTGACTGGAACATCGGTCAGGGCCGGCTTCAGATTCATTACATTGCCCCCTTCTTAAAGACGTTTCGCCCCGAAATGTCATCCTTGGCGTGTGTCGATACCTGCAGAACTCTCCATATTTGCACTGTGAAGTTCGATGGAAGTAACACTCCACAGTCTTTATGCTCGTTCGTGGAAGATGGTTACCACACACCAAAATCTGGATGCCGCTGGATCTGAAGATCGTTTCCAACATGCTTCTCACTATCCTCCAGTCCAGCCTGTCGAGCCCAGAGGCTAATTTCGGAATTGCCAACTCCACGAGATTCTGATCGAGCATCGTCTCCTTCAGTCTAGTAAGACTTCTCCAGACATCTTCATAGGATGGTTTGTCTCGAGAATGCTTTTTGGTCACCAAGTAGAAGATGTTTCTCTGACCCTTCTTCAACTGTAGCACTCCTCCGACTTCTGGATTCTGTTCTCGTAATGTTTGAAGCTGACCGAATTTCTTGTTGAATACCACGGCGATGCCCTTGGACATTTGGAGATCCTCTGCCACGCAGTGAGCTAGTGCGTAATCAACTGGAACCTTGAAAAGGTCTCGTGGCTCTTCTCGAGTTACCCCATGTACGACCTTCTGTCTGTTCGAGTATAAGGACATGAATTGCTGCAACGTCATTTCATCCTCTGGTGGTCTGAGGGCGCGAACTTGGTCGTGATTTCCAGAATAAGGAGCCAGTCTATTAAAATGGACGACCCTAGGCTTTCCTCGAGGTGGCTTATGGATTTGGTAGACGAGGTCATTAATCTTTTTCATGATTTTGTACGGACCCTCCAGCATTCGCCTTGATGTCATAGGCCTTCTTCATCCCACTTCTGACACCAATTGCAACGAATTAAAGAATTAACTGTCTTAATCAAATTTATTTTCAACAATATTTCACTATCACAACTAATTTATGTACAACACTTAGTAACTAACGCTTAATTTATCTTCACAATTAGATTCCTTGCCTTGAACGCACGATTCACTTTCTAAGTACAGACTACTCTTCTGGACAGAGAGCGACCTTTTTATATAGTCAACGAACGTTCCGGATCTCTCTGCGGATTTCGGGACCCATCCGGACATTTCGCGCTGTTTCGCGATGCGTCATGCGTTTGCTGACTGGGACATCGGTCAGGGCCGGCTTCAGATTCATTACAATAAGTTATAGAGCTTCAAATCCTTTTTGTAACTTACATTAATAGTAAAATACTGAAAATAAAGGTATATAAGTTGCATCATCCAAAATGAATAATTGTATGTTTTTTAAGTAGAATACTTTTATTTATAAGAAAATAATTTCGAAAGACTGCTCAAAAAATTTAAATTTTTTATAATGAATTGATCGATTGATCATCATCTTCATTTTCATCACGAAGGAGTTTCTGTGATCAGCTGTGATGGCGTTTATCGACGAATTTTTTTTTATTTCGGCTTGCGGAAATCGTCAGATTATATATTTTTCGTTATCCTTGAATTAATTCCTTCAAAATAAAGGAAAATTCGCTACGCTCGAGAATGTCAAAATGACGTTATTTTTTTACAACTTTGCCGCTCTCCCCTTTCTTTACGTCACTCTCAAATTGTCAGATTACTGGAATATACACTTTACAGCATGTAATTAACTCACCCTACCTTAATCTGACGCCCTCGAGAATTTATGATGATCATTTTTTTTACCAATCTGATCCTTTATCCTTCACGGGCGGCCTTATATATGAGGCTTATATTTGGTGGAGGTACATCACCGGGTACAAGGTATACCGCTGTATATTAATCTGCCGCGCTTTAGTAAATCCAGAAATCCCCGCTTGGGCTCCCCTATTATAACTGAATGTCTAATACATATTACACAGAACTTAAAATCAATTATTTCTTAATAAAAGTTGACTTGCAAGTTCACGTTCAAAATAATGTGATTTATAATAAAACAGAATTGCACTGTTGCACAAGTTGGAAAAATCTGCGGAGTTTATAAACTTAAGTGTCCGGAGTGTAATAGTGTTTATGTGGGACAATGCGGACGAAATTTCCCAAAACGGTGTGCTGAACATGAATGGAATGCAAATTGTTTGAAGCTTATTATATTACCGAAGTTCAAATGTTCTGTTAAACGTATTTTTACCAGTTTTTCAATAATTTTTGCTAACGATGGAATAAGAGAAATTGGGCGATAGTTCGAAAAACTTTGAATATATTTTCTGCTGTTAACGATGTCTGCCGGTCAGGGCCGTCGCCATGGGAGGGATGGGGAAAGCCTCCGCCCCTGCTTTTTCGACTTGAGAAAAAGTTGGGAAATTTTGGGCCGTGAAAATTGAAAAAAATAATAGTAAAAAATGAATGAAAATTAAAAAAAAATAAAATGAGAGGAAAGAAAGGAAGAGGTAATAAGAAAAGGGAAAAAACCAGGAGAAGGTCGGGATTTCCCAACATGCATAACTTGGAGATCCCATACTTTGAAATTCTGAGTTGTTTGAAAACTTCAAAAAAGTCCACAAATTTTTAAGTGACAATTTTACTAAATTGATGATTTTACTAAATTTCGGGCCGTGAAGATAGTAGAAAATAATAAATAAAACAATAGTAAAACGACCAGATGGCATGTCTCTCATACCATGGAAATACGGTAAACCTGTGGTATGGGACTTTACTTGCGTTGACACGATCGCGGCTTCCCATCTAGCCGAAAGTTCCAAGTCTGCTGGAACTGCAGCATTGTCTGGCGAGAAATTGAAAAGGAAAAAATACCAAAATCTTGGAAACAACTATCTGTTCCATCCAGTAGCGGTTGAAACTTTTGGTGTTTATGGCCCGGAGTCTCTGTTATTCGTTCATGAACTCGGAAGGAGAATAGGCCAAGCAACGAAAGATCACCGTTCTACCTCTTTTTTGTTAGAAAGAATTAGTATTGCTATTCAACGTGGCAATGCTGCTTCAGTACTTGGAACTATTCCTCCTTCACATAATTTTGATGAGATCATGCATTGCCCTAATTTCAGTACGGAACTGAAACCTCTTCGAAACAAGCCAAAATATGTGGATATTTATCAGTCTCCTATCAAAGTTAATTCACAAGTGATTGATCCACCTTCTTCTTTTTCAGTGCGGTCAGTGGACTCAGGTCATTCTTGGCCCCAAAAAATGAGTTGCATTTCTCGTAGAATTGGTACCATTTCAGTGGAAGCGCTTCTTGAAGCAAGAGCCGAATCGATCCCTCTACGAAACCCTTTTTCACTTGGAAGGATCGATCGCAGCTTGAGAAATGGTTCTTATGGAGATTCTGTGAAACGTGTTCTTCCTTACGAATCAGTAGAGAGTTGTCCTGAAAATCTAGAGAAGAAAATTGGATTGGATAATTTAGGAAACACTTGTTACATGAATAGCATTTTACAAGTGTTGTTCATGACGAAGAATTTCAAGAACGAAGTTTTAATGATGAACGAGAATGTTTCCTGCTTATTCATCAAACTCAAACAACTGTTCATGCAGCTGCAGTTTCGTAAGAAGGTATCATCTTTCCCTCCAACCGATTTCCTGGAGTCTTTGAAGTCCACTAGATACTCGTTAGGACAACAAGAGGATTGTTCCGAATTCTTGGGGTTCTTGTTGAATACTCTTCGTGAGCAAAACCAATACTCCCAGCCGCTCTGGACTGAATGATTCCGTACAACCCATCTCGTCTTGTGTTTGTAAATCTTTTGCTGGAAAAATCCTCACTTGTTTACTTTGTGGTAAATGTTCAAGAAGTACTGAAAACTTATGTGAATTTCTGGAACTTCATCTAGCTTTTCCTAATACGACTAATTACCAGTCCGTGCAAAGCTTATTGTTAAATCATCTGAAAATGGAATTTTTAACAGGTGATGATCAACTGTATTGTCAAACATGCGCCAAACTAACTGACTGTTATAAGGAAACAAGTATAGCTGAGGCACCAGTCAATCTAATAATAACACTGATGATATTCAAACAAGACTCAACCTCTAACGGAAGCAAGAAACTCTTTGGAAGGTTCGAAATAGATGAACATTTCAACCTAGCAGACCACTGTTATAATATTCATGCAGTCATTGTTCACTGTGGTTCTGGCGTTGAACGTGGTCATTATTACGCCTTGGTCAAAGAAGAAACGGACTGGTGTAAGTTTGACGATAGTCGTGTCACGAAGTGTTCTGGCGATGCATTGAATTTATTGGAGCCTCTGGAGACACCCTACATTTTGTTTTATGAGAGAGAGGACATTGTTGGATCAAGATCTTCAGATGATGTGGTGCTGCAGGTTTTTCCGGGTTTTCCTGCAGCTGAAAAAGCAAATGCGCCACTGGAATCAATGAAGTCGCCCCGGAGCGCCAATTAATTTTTATTGTTGTATTTATTTTATTTTTAATGTCATAAACAGAATCTTCAATAAAAGTAGAAAACAATAAGCACAATATTATTTAAGTGTTGTTTCCTTTCATTTGCATTGAATATTCCTATACATGGTGGATATGGTGAAAGACCAAGGACCTTGGTCCAAAGTAGAATAATTCCCAGTATTATTTTTATATTTACCGAAATTTATTTATTTTTTGTGCATACCCTAACGGCCATAATCATTCAGCCAATCTTTGGATAGCTAAGTAAGAAAATTAATATAGTAACTAATCCCTCAGCTTCCATCTTTTCGAAAGTTGAGAAATTTTGTTGGTGGGGTTGGGAAAATCTGGATTCCCTCCCCCCCTGGTTTTTATTTTCGCTATGCTGCCGGTGACATAATTTTGATACCGTCGTATACAGCATCTCATCTGAAAGTTAAGGCAAAACAAATGTTTGCACCAAAATAATTTTTTGCTGCGAACTGGTTCATTTTCGGCAAAAAATCCAAGACACATTTTTTGTTTAGAATTAAACAGGCTATCGGAAATAAATTTTTAAATGGTAAACAAATAAGACAACAAGTTACATTGGAAATAAATTTTAGGGGTTGCGTTTTCCACCCCTTACAACCATGGGGTAAACCAAATAAATTACTGGCTAAGTGTATTTTTGGTAGTACAAAACGTCAGGTTAATTTCAATATTGTAACTTTTTCAGTGCTTGTGAAAAAAATTGTTATACAAATTTCATGGACTGTATCTTAACAAGGGATGTTCCAATGAAGTTTCTTTATATGAAAGATCCTATCTTTTTTTCGATGAGAAATCAACCTCCTTGAATGTTTTACACTTATACAATTATAGGTATCACACTAACACCCTGTATAACCGGAATTAGTTAGCTCCCCTAACTATATTATTAATGGGGGGCTGTTGGAAGGTGCTATATCGTTCACTTGAACTATACCTAAAGAAAACAAAAATCTCTATTGATCACTATATACCAGGACACATTAGAATAAATATTCATTATGATATTCAGCTACAAAAACAGATGGCATTAAAACGGACAAAATCTAATATAACCAACCCAATATAACCAATAATAATGTGTTGCAAAAACAGCTCCTGTTCTAGTATTCGCCCTAATCCAGTCCAAAGTCGATATCACACGAAAGAAACCCATCATGGACAATCCAGCAAAAACGGGTTACTGAACGAAATCCTATCGATTATACTAATCTCCATCGTCACTATGACGTCGGTGCTTTTGTTGTCGACGATAGTTGCAGTTTTGCGTGAGATTGGCACGCAGGTGTTTCGTACGGCACCCTTGATCTCTTGAGCCAAGAGAAAACACTTATGGCCGGTGAAGTATTCATGGAGAAGGACAATGCAGGCGCCTCCTCCTGCGGAATCGGTCGGTTCCGGAAACACTGAAGAAGACTGGCATGTGTTCGAGGTGCTGTGCAAAGATATGAACGTGAGTAAACCTCCAGGCGTTGTAATTATTCGCAGTATTCAAGAATTTTCGCACGTTATTGTTCCAGTAGATCACCGAGAAGTGACAAGGAATGTGTTTGTATTGTGTTGATACAGGGTGGAAAAGCTTAGAGATTCATTGACGTATACAGGATTCATTGCTGAATATTAGGGGGTTCCCAAGTGTAATGATTTTAGGTCAGTGGCAGTGACGGCTCGTGCATTAGAGAACAGGGGAGGCTGAAGTCATAAAGACTATATACACACAGAAAAGGCCGCCGGAGGCGCGAACATTTTTTATGTTGTTGCACGCTTTGCTTAATACTAAAGTTAGGGCATGGGCATGACAATGCGTAAAAAGTGCATGAGAAGCTATGGACTTTAGTTTAGTTTGTAAACCATTGAAATGGCCGGCCATGACCGCAGCCCCATCTTAGATTTACGCAATTAACTTTTGCCGAAAATTATAGGTGTCACACGTACGAATTAAAAAATTAAACAAATCGTCAGCTGTGCGCCCAGATGAAACATCATGAAAACCCATAAAACGTTCTACCACACTACCATCTTTGACATACCCAAAAACGATTGAACGTTGTGATGTCCAGGTAATACAGGTAGTTTTATCAGTTTCACATGCAAAAAAAGAAACACTTTCAATCTCCTCGCTTATATTTTCCTTAATAATATATGCCACACTGTCTATAAGCTCATTTTGGATGGTTTTTGAGGTGCCCGAAAAAACGCTACCGTTTAAGAAAGTGCCAAATTGTGAATCATATTTGCCCCATAACATTAAAAGTTCCTTTTACTGCCGCGATTAATCGAATCTTCGGTTTCATCGTGTCCACGAAAAGCTAATTCTTGGGAACCCAAATAAATTGTAATATCGATAAGTCTTTTTGAATTTGACCGATTTTCCCTAACCTGATTTTTAAAAGAATTTATGGCTTCTTTTTGAGCTGTATCTAAAGCTGTTGCTACATCCATCAATTTATTTATACTACTTATTTACTCTTTTCTTCTTCTTTTTTGAACTGTATCTAAAGCTGTTGCTACATCCATCAATTCATTTATACTACTTATTTACTCTTTTCCCTGTTCGGCCAATTCAAAATTTGGTCAAGAACCACAAGTCAACTTGTATACTCCTGATCTATACGGCACCTTATTGATTTTAATAGATTTGCTTTGAATCTCATCAGTTTATTTATTCAATTCGATCTTTGCAAACAAATGGAATTTAAAATCGACTTGAATTCATACTAGTCAATGAAATTTATGGCTACTACTCACAAAGAATCAATTTCTGTATAATACTTCAGTTATTTCTGTTCAATCCTCGAAATAAATACGCTGCTTTAAAAAAGCCTTTGTACAAACATCCGAATAGCACACTGTATAAAATCAGATTTCCCAACGCCGTCTAATTTTAAAACAGAGTATCAAGAAAGGGAATACATTCCACTCAATTTTATTATTTATAGTATATCAAATTTGATGTCATAGTACCAGGTTGAGATCGTTCTTGATATTGATTACAAAATTTGAATATATATTTTGTCAATTTTGTCAGTTCTGAATGAACCGTGACTGTTTCGTCTCACTCTGCAATTAGATAATGGGTGAGTTTGAATTGCTAGCATTTTATCATTCCGAAAAAGTACAGGCATTCACTCTGAACATCACACCTGTGCTTGTCCACTTTTTTGTAGGTAAATTATGGTTCTCACTAATGAAGCCGATATTTTTCCTTATTGAAAATAAAAACGTTGTTTACGTTGATTGTAATTGGACATCGCTTACAGTAACGATAAATTCACTTAATTGGAAACCCATGTATACGTTGTGTATTGTATAGTGCCCCGTTTTAATGTGCACAGAATTCCATAGTAATTATACTACCTGTGTTCATTATGATAACGATTATTGCGCTGCATACGAATGCGACACTCTAATATAGTTGCAAAGAGCAGAACATTTACTAAAGAAAACTCCCAATATCAATCTCTTCATTGAAAATACCTCAAACTATTTTGGAGTTTTGAAGGAATCTTGGAGACACCTACTCTAATTTTTTTATAGATTTTTCAATACAGATACAAAAATATTTCATCCATCCTCACATCGTCAGCTGCTCTCATAATATTGGCACGTAAATTTGAGATTGCTTTACCGCTTTTGTACGTACACCGAAATGATTGGATACAAAGTTTTTTAGTTCAATAATTCGATTCAAAAAGCTCTTCCTCAAAGGTTCTCCTGCAAACAATTCACAGAACTTCACAGGTACATCACAAGAATTCATCGAGAAAATAAAAAATTTGTCAACTTCACGTGCACTATATATATAAATGTTATATGACCAAATGCTAATTCATGATACTGAACGTGGTAAAATTTAAAGTCTTTCAATTGTATATACACCCCACAGAACTATATAAGTTATAGTTCTGTAATACACCCCACAGAATATAGTTCTGTGATACACCCCTTCTTCATAATGACATACGTCAAATATCAGTATTGCCAATCATGAAACGTTACGTGAATATGGTCAATTGTTTCTTTGTATTTCCAGATGGAAGAAGCTGAAGTGGACGTAGCGACATCTCTCCGCAGCGAGATCGCGGCCCTCCAGTACAAGCGAGACCGGCTGCAAACCGATCTGGAAGAGATGCGCTCTCAAGTTCGGACTCGCGACCAGAGATGTCTCGACCTGCAAGTCGAGGCCGATCAGTTGAGGGAGCAATCGGCGAGGCAGAACGCCATCATCTCTTCGCTGAAGAAACGCGTCCACGAACTGGAAGAGAGAGAAAGGAATCTGATCGCAGCTCAGGGGAGGCATGAGATTGCTTTGCAAACTGCGCACAGAGATGTCAGGTATAGCGTGAGATGTATTTCGTGTTCAAAAGTTTGTAACTGCAATCTGGAGCTGTACCAACGAAATGTTGATTTCATTTCAAAGGGTTCTTTTCAAATCATAAAGCGAGCATCTCTTTTCAAACTATTGAAACTATTTTGATCCATCAACTGGCATTTTTCAAATAAATCAATTGACAGTTTTCAAAACTCTCAATCGAGAGGTACTTTTATGAATCTATCGAGTGATATTTTTAAAATCTACCAATGGGGAATGTTCCTCAATTTGGGTTATTACAGCAAATGTAAGTTTGAACAAAATAAAGTTGAGTTTGATTCATGAGTTTTTCAAATTCACTTCGAAAAGTATTAAAATTGATGTTTCAAATGTTGGGTTTTAATTTTAAAGGGATCTGTTTCTAATTCACATATTGGCAACATCGCCTATATCAAGCTGAAATAATTTATACGTACCTAGATATTCTTCTTTAAAAAAGGAAAATTATCTTTATAAATCAACAATTAAGGCAAAATATAAATTATAGTTCAATACCACCTCCACAAGCCACATAAACAACAGTTGTTTTGTTATTTACTTATATAAAGGAAGATAGGTTAGGTGCACAAAATGTCATATGTCGCAGAATGTCTCGGAACTCGGAACATATGAGTAAACAGAACAGCATGTCTCTGAAATATGTCATCTTTGTTTGTCTCATACATGAAACAGATTCATTGTCCTTTCTTAGCTATAATCGATGTTGCCAAATAGTGAAATAGAAAAGAATCCCTTTAAATGTTGAATGCATTATTTCATTCCTCTTTTTCAAGTATTTACATAATTTTTTAAAGAAAAAGATTTGAATGATAAGTTTAAAATGCGTTGTTTTGGAGCTCTTTCATGAAAACTACTTCTTGATTTTCGTCAGGAGGAACATTCCCCATTGAAATTTCGACTTCTTCAAAGATTTTCTAATAGGTCAGTAGACACTTTTCAAATCTATCGATAGATGACTATTATCGATCTGTTTTTGAGTTATTTAGTATTTTTAACAACGAAAAATCTTCTGTTTACTATTAAGCTAAGAAAGTATACAGATACATGTCACGTTTCAAAGACCAAAATATGCCAAAGAATTTTCTAAATACATATTTCACATTCCAAAACACTTCTGACACATATCGAATACGTTTTGAAAATAAAACGAATAGAAAAACTGCAAGATTCATTAGATTTTTCACAATACTGAAGACGGAGGCAGATTTTAGCCTTCGAAACGTTATGATATAAGTATGTTTACTTTCTCAGCTCTTGTTTGAAGTTAACTTTATGAAACACAAGTTTCTGTAAATACTTTTCGAAGTGAACTAAAAAGTTTGCTCTTTCTACACGTGTATAAAGTTCTCCATTATAATTTTAACATTTTTTTTTAAATTGTAGAAGGTGAAAAAAAAATCAAAACAGTTCTATGAAAACCAATTTTACCCACAAAAAATATGACTTTCACTGAATATAAACTTTTCAAAATCCATTAATTGACCGTTTTTAAAACAGCCTGTTGAAAATATTTTAGTCAGCCAATTGATACGTTTTGAATATTTCAGTTGACTTTTTTAAAGTGAGCTGATTGATACATTTTAAATCTTCTAACTTACAATTTCCAATCTGTCAATTGTTACTTCTCAAATCTGAAAATTTTATCCAATATTGATTGTTTTAAAATCCATTAATAGCAGTTTTCGAAAGTGACTGTTTAAAACTTTCGAATCAGCCAATTGCTACTATGTAAATCTGTCAATTAATACTTCCCAAATATACCAATTAATACTTCCCAAATATGCCAATTAATACCTTTTGCATCATGCAACTGACAATTTTATTCTATATTTATTTTTTTAACCATTAATGGCAGTTTTCAAAACAGTCTGTTGAAAAAGTTCAAATCAGCCAATTGATACTTTTTGAATTTGTCAATTGATACTTTTCAAATTGGCAATTTTCAATCTATCAATTGCCATTTCTTAAATCTGTCAATTGAGAATTTTTCAAATTCCGAGTGATCGGAGATATATAATAGCTGGTCTTTTTTATTTCCGACTCATCTATGGCCTCATACGAAATCGGTGAATCAGTAGATATTCTAGTTCTGTTTTCACTTGGAAATGAACCTCTGGGTATTTATCCACTTTTCAAATCATTAATTATCCATTGTTAAGTCATATGTACTAACAGAATCAGAAAGTTTCAATAATTGACGCATTTTAGAAAAGGGAATCAACAATTTTAAATTTGTCAATTGCCGTATTTGGAAAATGTAAATTTTGTCAGACTATTAAAATAAAACTCAACTGCCATTTTCTTTGAGATAACTCGTTAAGAATGATATCGAGAATTGAAAGTGAAAGAATTAATAAAAAACTTTTGCGAAAGTTTCAACTTCAACCTTATCAATACCATGAAACTTCGTATGATGAAGAAAGTGTTGATATTTTTTATGTAAAAGCTACACCAAATATCTACTCAATGAATCCATACGTTCATAGGTACAACGAAGAAAAAGTCAAAGAACTAGAATCGAAAGTAAGAAATCTTGAACTGGATTTGAGTTCCGAAGAGCAAAAGAAAGATTCCGCCAGGTTGCAACTGCAAGATTTTGTTAGAAGACTTTCTATTGCGTTGGGAGCCGACTTGCTGGATTATTCGCATATATCTCCAGAATCTCTGGTTCATAAGGCTTCCGAATTGGTACAGGTAATATAATGATATTTCTTTTTCTCTGATTGACTCGGCCGTTGATTAATGAAGACCCATTGTAATTTCACAAAGTATACCTTACGATTTGATTTGATACTTTGTGAAGATCAAATCGTCAGGTGTAGTTTGTGAAATTGATTTATCTATTATTATTATTCCACAATGAAAATTTTTTCAATCACTAATTTCTCCAAATTGCCATTCATGATCATTATTTGATTTGTGCCGAAAATCGCTTATAGACATCATAAGCTGAAAAGAAGTAAAAAAGACTAAGATTTGTGAAAAAAGAAAAGCATCAATGTATAAAGTACAAAATTCTCTATCGATGAGTATATACCATGACACAGAATAAGTATTTATTGAGATATGGAGCTACAAAAAACACACGACATTAAAAGTATATACAACCTAAAGTATATACTTTTTCTTGCTACTGATCTGGGTTTATGACCTTTCACAATCTGAAGCGTAAACAAAGCTAAATCAGTCGAGAATTATCTGAATTGTGATCTTCTGATTGATTCGGCCGTTACTACCACCGAAAATTACCTAAACCTCTACCTGAGGTACCTGTTGAATTTTGATTACCCAAAGCATATTACCTCATAACTACATCAATAATAATTCTTTCTGGGATTTTAAGAAAACAAGTTCAATAATGGTGATCTATTCAAATCTAATTGGTCATTCATTAGGATGAATGAATTTTTAAGTTTATTAATTTCCATTGCTTTCAAATAATTCAGTTTCAAATTTTCATTTTTTATGTGCAAAATTTTGAACTCTTCGTTGAAGATATGATTTTCTTCTGGAAGATGTTTTGAATATGTTGAATTTGTTTTCTTATTTACATAGCTCGTATGATGTTCCTGGATTCGATTCCTTAATATTCTGCCAGTTTGATCAATATATACCTTAGGACACGTTCCACACTTTAATTTATTTACTCCTGATTTCTCGAATTTGGATGTCTTTTCTTTATTATTTTTAACTAACTTTCCCAAAGTATTACTTGTTCTATATGCAATTTTAATATCTCGTTTTCTCAAAAATGAAGTAACTTTTTTCGTTGGTTGTCCAAAATACGTTAAAGCTATATAATTTTGATTAACTACCTTATCAATAGGAAAAACGTCTCGAATCGCTTTTGCGTAGACTTTCTTGGCAAGTATTTTGTTAATTAATTCGGCTTTACACCCATTGTTAACCGCAATTCGCTTGATGATATCAAGTTCTTTATTGAAATTATCTATTGAAGTACCTAAATACACACATCGGAAAAGTCTAGGGATATTTTTATAACATACTTTATTGCCATTTTTAAAAATATCCCTAGACTTTTCTGATGTGTGTATATTTGAATCTCAAAATGTAATTTACACAAAACTTTCAGGCGACATTTGAAATGTTTGAGACTAACATAAATACAATTTCAAATGCTTCAAAAATGTCAATCATCAACCATCATGCTATTAAAATATTTTGGAAGATTCTTACCCTCGCTTGGGGGTGCAAGAGTTGAAGTCGCAAATACCAGAAGTGACAGTGTCTCTCTTCAATTGAAAATTGTGGTTTCAATTTTCCCTGAATTATTACTAATACAATATAATTATTTTATTCTGTTTGTTTGAAGATGGTTGACATCGTTTCATGTTGAATTTCATTAGGTCGGACTTCCATTGTCTGATATGAAATAAAATGATATGAAATCCCTGAAAAAATCAGTGAAATTAAAAAGGTATAGCTGAAAATAACAATTATATTGAGCAAAAAAAACCTTGAACTGAAATTGCAATGAAGTAAAATACAAGAAACAATTTAATCCAGTCATTTAAGCTTAAATTAGGTAAGAATCTCGGAATTCGAGATACCCAGCTGCTTTTTTTGGAAATATCTCATTTCCTATGGGTTTTTTGCTATTTGTGTTTATTATCAATATTGTAGAATACAAAATTCTCTACAAATTCTGTTTGAAAAAATTTTTTATTCGGTGAACCGTTTTCGAGATAGAGGGCGGAGAGCGCGCGGTCACAGCATCACTTCAGGTCAACCGGTGCCTCCGGTCGAAAACGCGCCATATATAGTTGATGAACTATCGTTAGTTAATAAAAATTGACAAATATTTATAATCATTGATTTATCGATAGTTCATCAAATATATATGGCGCGTTTTCTACCGGAGGCACCGGTTGACCTGAAGTGATGCTGTGACCGCGTGCTCTCCGCCCTCTATCTCGAAAACGGTTCACCGTATAAAACATTTTTTTTAAACAAAATTTGTAGGGAATTTTGTATTCTACAATATTGATAATAAATACAAATAGCAAAAAACCCATAGGAAATGAGATATTTCCAAAAAAAGCGCAAAAAACCGATTTTTGTGACCTTTGACCTTGAAATTTAATAGTTGCTTACACCCTACCATATGTAGGTTTTAAGACAACTTTTAGGGTGTCAATATATAAGTATTTACAGACTTACAGATGGGTATCTCGAATTCCGAGGTGAACTTACTATAATGACTGGACTAATTGAAAATCGAACAGTTTAGATAACAATTCCAAGATTCCAAGCCAAGTGACTTCTCACACACACTCTCTCAATGAGTGTTCCTCCCTGTGTACGATTTCAGCTTGGGACCACTCGATATTATGTTGATGGGTCCAAACATGCTCTGCTATTCCTGATTTGCTGGTTTCAACTCGCTTCCTCAAGCATAAACTGGATGCTTAGTTCCTTCTCGAGACCTTCCTTCGTATTACAGAGCCCGAAAGCACTTGATGATTCCTCTTTTAGTCAGTTGATGGTGGTTAGATTCGTAGTTCAGATACTGTCCCGTACGAGTGGGTTTTCGGTGTACAGATGTTTCCCACTTAGTGTGGGTCCTCTTCACCAGTCATCGTTGTAGACTCCATTGCAAAAGTGATGGAAGGTCTTACGCTATTGATGTGCTTCAGAAAGGTAGTCCCTCATCTTGCGTAAAAAGTCGTCCTTCAGTTGGAAATGTCAGTTTCGTGCACATCATCCTTGTAATTCCATGATTGCTTCTATAGGTGAGTTCGTTCTATTTTCCATGTCCCGTCTTCAGATAGCTTCCTCTGTATGATTTGAAATGCTTGATGTGATGAGGAGTTAGCGATGATCTCTCCTTTTCCGAAAAATAGACTTGATGTTTTTTCAAAGTCTTGTATAACTTTCTTTCAATTGATGCAGTAGGTTCCCGTACAATATTCCTTGTCCTTTTTGAACAACCTCTTCGATCTTGTGTTCCCAGATATCAGTATCCACCACGACAGCAGCGTTTCCCTTATCTTCTGGTTTTCTGAATTCAAATGAACCATCGATCTAGAAATATACCCGTAGACATTCTTTAGACATATATGCATATTACAATTTCAAGATTTCAGTAAACCTTCCGTAATCGCTCATGTTCGACAGGAAACTTCAAGACTGCGCAACAAGGCCGGTAGCATCCACGACACCCTCAGCACAGTAGAAGTGGACCTGCGCACATGCAAAGAGAACCTGGAACGCGCATTGGCCGACAGGGAATGCTTACAGCGACAGTCAGCCGCGCAGCTGTTGGAAATCGACCGACTGCGCCAAGAAAAGGAGAACGCCGATATGCAGAACAGAGTCACGGAAAGGGAATTGAACGAACTCAAGGACAAACTGGCGTTGTCAAACAGAAGTTTGGGAAACGCAAGCGGCAACATTGCCCAGCAGGAGTCGATGATATGTCAGATGAGAGGTGAGTCGAGGAGTTTCAATAAATAGATTTATTAGTCCTTTGTGCTATATTATGTAGATGGGACAAGTCATATTTCTCTGGTATAATATAAATGTATAGGATTATAGGATGAGTCAGTTTGAGTGAAAAAAATCACGTTACACACATTTGTAAAACAAAAACGTACATATTGAAATATGAATAAAAATTGAATAGGGAAATAAAATGAATTGATGGGTTTAGCCGTTACTACGTGGTAGAAAATCATAATGAAGAAAAGAGATTTGAAACTGTACATGTTTTTATGCTAAAAATCATAGAAAGTTTCAATTCTCTTTTCTCCATTGTAAATAAAATAGATAAATGAACGTCACGATGAAAGCGATCTGACATTACCAAGTATAAATTCATCCATTGTGTAGAACAAAATTGTCTAACAGAACAATTCATTCAGGCAAGTCTCAACTCACCTACAGTGTTGGTTAATGGAATCAGGGCCGTACGCAGATTTTTATTTCGGGGGGGGGGGGTTAATATAATATGTATGACATATCCGAATGCAGGATACTATATCAAGTAAGGGAAATGATCGCCCCCGCAGTGGGCGAAAAAGAATTGAAGTGTTGATACAAGTAACTTGATTTTCAAGATGATTTTCATTTGTTGATATGGTGTGGTATTAAATAAGTTTACACTCGGAAATAATAAGATTTTTTTACTTAAAATGTTAAATGTGAAGGTTTCGAATATGTATTACACATGAAACATTCTTCACAAAACAAAGTCCAATTTTCTTTTTTTATTTGCAAAAATATTTATGACTTTGTCGGTGGGAATGTCAATGTCTCTATGAATAGACATAAGAGCTAATCCAGCGAGTCGATCCGGGCCACAGGAGTTCCTTAGATAAGATTTAAGCCTCTTCAGTATAGAAAATGATATCTCTGGTGTACATGTTGTCACCGGCAAAGTTGCATAAATGTTTAATAACATGAAAATATTTGGGTAGAGTTCAGCATTGCACTCTCCAAGAGCCTCAACCGCACAACAAATTTTCCAAATTTCATACTCACTTTGCAATAAGCTCAGATCAACTTTATTTTTGTACATAGCCAAGTTTTCTAGATCCAGTGATTTGTCACAGCAAACAGACGGTAATAAGCAGTATAGGCCGGATAGAATATTTTTGTGGTCCACAAATATACTTTTCAGTTGGCCAATGAAATCGTCCAAAACTGGAACAGCTATACGAAAATATTGTTCTGGATCGTTTGCTTGGAAATTGCTGCGATATCTTTGAACGGATGTCAATCGTGGTATACGAATCTCTTCATGAACCTCGTCTAATATTGATTTTGCTGTTTCGAAAATTACTGAGAATTGGGCCTCAATGTTGGTTCGAAAATTTTCAAAGATTTGAACAACATTCTCGATATGATCTATACTTGAAACTAAATCACAAAGAAGAGACTGTAGGATTTTGCAGAGTGTAATTGTGTAGGAGAACACGCTTTCTAGAAAACAGAGACTTATAACAAATTCACTTGCAATTATAGATTTTAAAAATGATGAAGCATGCTCAAGTTATGAGCGCTCAGGCCATAATTTGCAAACTTAAATCGTTGGGAATGCTTGCGTGCTCAAAGCGCACCAAATATTCGCGAGAAAATGTCTGGATTTGGTTACAATCAATACTATTTTTTTATTGATTAGTAGTTTTTTGAAAAAGGAAAAATCAAAAAATTAGGCGATGGTGGATGACACCATCAGAAAGAAGTAGAACTGGGGGTATTGATTTATTAGTGAGATTATTGTTATTAGATTCCAAAAATTTGTGCGTTTTTCATCAAAAAGCTTTGAATATATTTAAAAATCAAATATGCCCTCAAATTATGAAAAAGGACGCAGTATTTGGGATATTTCGGGGGGGTTCTGACCCCTCTAACCCCCCTTCTGGGTACGGCCCTGAATGGAATGACACGACTGATACCTATCAGTAAACAACTACTCCCCTGGCAAATACCACGAAGAGTGTCGGATTATATCCGACAAGTATCAATACAGAATTCTTCACAGAAGCAATTTCTGCATATGCTATTTCAGTTTTTTCGCTTGATATAATTGTTATTTTTCAGCTACTCTTTTTAATTTTTTATAGAATCTATCAGGGATTTCAAATCAATTTATATCATACTAGTACTATGTTGCTGTATTGCTGCTGTTTCAATGTTTTGACAGAATCAGAATCAACGAACTTAGGCGTGGGAAGAGTTATAGAACAGTGCTTTCAAAAAATTGTTCTACAGCGCCATCTAGTGGCAAGTTATAGAAAAATTGATAGCCTAAAAACCTTCTCAATGAAAAATTACTAAACATGTCAAGTTTCATCACGATCTGTTGAGCGATGTAGAAGTTTATCCCAACCAACCAACCAACCAACCAACCAACAAACATCCATTTTTATATAGTAGATAGACAATGGAAGTCCTATCCAATGAACTGAATTTTATTATCATCACTATTGTTATCACTGATTGTTGAAAGTTCCTATAAAACATTGCTCAGCATAACAAAGTATACACTTGACAAACAATTCCTTATGCATTGTGTTGAACTCAAAAGCGAAAGCTGGAAAGCATTTCAAAAGCGGCTTTTGATTTTCAGACGACATAAAGATGAAAGAAGAAAGAATCCTACGTCTTCAGGCGGATAATAAACACACTTTGGAATCTCTGGCAATCATTCTAAGTACGCCCTCACGCTTCGTGGAATCTTTAGAAGCTACCATCAAAGACAGGATTCACGAAATAATAAACGACAACAAGGACAAAACCGCTGTAAAGTACAAAATTCGCTTTTTAACGTTGGCGGAAGTTTCCGAGTAGATATCCTGGTGCTTCAAACATTCTAACTTTGATCTTTGCGGTATCAAAGTGCTATGTTGGTATTGAATAGAATGCGGTAAAGTCAATATTCTAGGATGAGAAAATGTCATGATGGAGTGGTTTTCACTTCAGTTTTTTTACCTTTGGCAGCAAGAAAGATGGATCAGTGATCGAATATGAAAGAATACAGATGTGGCAAGTTTCAAAGTATATATTGAATATGTTTACGTTTCATCATGCTGTATTATCCATTTGACATTAGTAGATGAACAACAGGGTTTCTGTGGCACCGGAAATTCAACTAACAGAAGCAATGAAGTACACCGTTTTCCTTGCGTTTTCGACCGTTTTTCGTGCGTTTTCGACCGTTTTTCGTGCGTAACAGTCACATACTTGACCAACTGCGCCACGAAAGCGCTACACGACAAGCGTTATGCGAAAAAACGTTACGCGAAAGCGTTATACGAAAAAACGTTACACGAAAAAAAGTATTGTACGACGTACTTCGATGCTTCTGTTAGTTGCATTTCCGGTGCCACAGAAACCCTGTTGTTCACCTACTACGGTCCCATGAAAATCTACAAAATGAGGTCCATAATATTAGAGCGGCCATTGCTGTGACAAGGGAGCGACGATTTCGCGAAGTCCATCGAGAGTACGTTTGAAAAACGTGCTCAAAAAGACTCAAATACGAGATATTCGCTCAAACATTTCACAAAACTGAAACACTCGTTTTACTATACCATTTCGCTTGTTCAGTCCAGCAAAATTCGAAATTCAGTTGATGCTTCTTCAAATCTGGGACCAAAGTTTTTATCCCATACCTGACACCATTTACAATTCATAAGTAGAAATAATTTAACTGAATGTATTCAATCAACGTATGTCTTAACGGCGTTACTACGAACTATTAACTTGATAAGTACAAAGACACTTTTAGCAAATTTCTATCACACGTGAATAACATAAACCCTATATAATATCTCGAAGCACTCTCGACCCGGAAACTCCGGCCGGCAGAGCCCTTTTTAACACGTTTTTGGTTCCTTTCGCAGCAACTGGAAGCACTCCGAGACAAGTTGGGACAAGAGAGCCAGCAATTATCGCGGCAAATATCGCTGTACGAGCAAGCGACGGTGAGACTGAGAGCCCTCGAAGATGAGAAGAATCACCTGGAAGCGAGGTTGCACAAAGCGGACGCCGAAATCAGTGCCTGCGAACTCTCGAGAGATGGACTCAAGAGAGACAAATCCACGGTAAGAACGCTGAATTCGACGATTATTTGAGCTTGGTTGCGTTTTGTTTTTGTAGGCTAACGTAATTCACGAGTGAAATAGCTTAGTTTTGTAAGGAATCCAGTTTTATTGTATCAATTATTCCTTCCTCATTTTATTCATTCCACGATTTATTTGCCTGATTCAATTGTTTCATATATTTGTTTGAAAAATTGAAAATTATATAAGGTTGTTCCAAAAATTTTTACCGTTTTCATGAGTCCACTTTGAATTATAATATTTCGGTGAATAATTATTCAATATGATCGAAATAAGCTCCATTTGATGAATCAGCACACTTTTGCCAACTTAGCACAAGTTGAATAATTCCGTCAGCATTGAAATTGAATAGTTGGGACTAACATTCGAGGCTAAAACCTACGGGACGAAATTTCGTATAAACTTTATAGGAGAATATAAATGTCACCAGCCTAAATGGTCAGAGATTAGTTAGTACCCTAAAAAGGGTACCTCAAGAGAAAAACATTTTTTTTGTAAAACTGTCAAAAAAACTGCATCTCTATTGACGCGTAAATGTTTACTTTTTTTCACTGCCAAAAATGGTTCTCATGGAGATTTTGTGAAACATGTTCTTCCTTACGAATCAGTAGAGAGTTGTCCTGAAAATCTAGAGAAGAAAATTGGATTGGATAATTTAGGAAACACTTGCTACATGAATACCATTTTACAAGTGTTGTTCATGACGAGAAGAATTTCAAGAACGATTTTAATGATGAACGAGAACGGGAATGTTATTAATCTATTTGTAGTAAATATTCAAGAGGTAGTGAAAACTTATATGAATTTCTGGAACTTCATCTAGCGTTTCCTAATATGATTAATAACCAGTCCGTGCAAAGGTTATTGTTAAACCATCAGAAAATGGAATTTTTAACAGGTGATGATCGACTGTTTTGCCAAACATGTGCCAAACTAACTGACTGTTATAAGGAAACAAGTATAGCTGAGGCACCAGTCAATCTAATAATAACACTGATGATCTTCAAACATTACTCAACCTCTGAAAGAAGAACCAAACTCTTACCAAGGTTCGAAATAGATGAACACTTCAATCTAGCAGACAACTATTATAATCTTCATCATTACGCCTTGGTCAAAGACAAAACGGACTGGTTTAAGATTGACGATTGTCGTATCACGAAGTGTTCTTTCGATGTATTGATTCTATTGGAGCCTCTGGAGACATCTTACATTTTGTTTTATGAGAGAGAGGACATTGGCAGATCAAGATCTTCAGATGATGTGGTGCTGCAGGTTTTCCCGGGTTTTCCTGCAGCTGAAAAAGCAAATGCGCTACTGGAATCAATGAAGTCACCCGGAGCGCCAATTAACTTTTATTGTAGTTTTTTATCATTGTTTGATAATTTCACAAATAAAAATTCACCAAATAAACATAAAATATTACTTTTTAAAGGATTAATTTTCAACAGAGTCAATTATTTTTCGATTATTTATCATTCGATAAAAATATTTATCATAAAACAATTTCATTGATTGAAATAATAATTGGTGGTAAAGTTTGAACAACTACTTCCAACATACATTCCCGAAGATGTTGCTGCCGATCAGAAACGTCAAATATTTCTTGAATAGTTGATTTATCAGATATTTCAATTTGTTTGGAAGAAAATGGACAATTGAATATTCTATTAGAAATCTCTATTTTGTTATTCAAACTATCTTCTATATATGCTTCTGCTATGGAGGCAGATTTCCAGCCACCGTGATTTTTATGGATGTAATGTTGCCCCCTGCATTGGCCAGAAGAGTTACAGATCATCTCCTGAAACAGTGACCGGTGTAGCTCTTATACGTGTGTTTTAAAGCCATTTTGCAATCAAGCTGAGAATTTCCCCTATTTTATTCATTTCCACATGTTGGTTAATACATTTTCCTTTCGGATATTTCAAAAATAATCTGTCATTTTTTGTATGACGCGGCCGTAGTGCTCTATACTTGCGGTATATTTCAATATAGTCAGAATTTGAAACAGTTAACGTTCTTGTGCAATAGATCTTCGTATTAGGTATTTCAATAATCAATATATTCAACCTATTGCTCGCACAAGTTTCTCAACTTCTGAGAGTTGTCGTTCGTATGGGGGCGTCAGCTGATTAACGGAAAAACAGACTTCAAACAGATTTTTCAAACAGAATGGCATCAATAGTTATATGTAATAGTTCTTCACGGCGACAAGCACCGCTGATACCCAAAATTGCAAATAATATTTTCAAGACAACAGTCGTTTAAAGGCGATAACTCGTTTATTCATTTCCCCAGTTTTCAAATCTGTTGATATTTTTGAAGAATGGATTTCCAATCTCGTAACATTCAACAAGAAATGTTGTCAATACCATTCAGAAATAATTTCAAAATAATAAACTACTTGTTTCAATAGTGTTCATTAATCTGCATCTCTCTCTATGTACGCTCGTTGAAGAGAGTCTGCCAATTTATTCCAATTTTTGTTTTCAGTTTATGAATTTCTTAGACCGGCTAGCCAGAGCTCTTAATATGGATGAGATATCCCACGACATAGGAGTCGATTTGCATACCGAATCTCTACTGCTTAGAGCTGAACAACTTGCGAGACTGGAAAGCGAAAAGTTGGTAGATAAGGTAGGATATTACTTCAATCCCTTAGGAATATGTTCATGATACGCTGGGTTGTTAGTATGTTCGTATTATTTTAATATGAATATACATGGTTCAAAGTTTGTGTCCAATTTTTAACATTTGAAAAGCTATATTGAAAGTAATTCTCATTCAATACAGATTAATCATGACGTGGAATTTAGATACAATCATAATATTAACGTTTATTGACTTTATGAAAAAGGTTCTGAAAGAAATGGATCTTATAGATAATATCTATAAGAATTATTGTTTACTCAGCCCTGCAATGTATTTGTGGTTCAGCCTAGCACCACTGACGAGACCTATGGCGAATCAAAACATCACTGTCTGGTGGATCCCTATTGCGTTGTGCTTGGGCTCTGTTTATTTCAACTATTTAGTTGCTTTGCAGTGAAGGCTGCAGTAAAAGACAGAGGACGAATCCCTTCGGCAGTCGATTTCGAAGCTTGGCTATGCAGCTGACCGTCCTAGGGAGCCTTGATCCCATATACGGCGTCTTTGTAAGGTGTAATGTCATTGCCCTTGTTCAAAATTATATTGATTTTTATCACTACTAAACAAGTAAACGGAACCGTATAGAAAAGTATAATTTGACATTAGTTTATATTGAATATCAAACAGATACTATTTCCTAGAGACCGTAAAGGAAACCTTGAATACATACTTATGTGAGGATATCAACAAATTGATTATAATATAAAATATACAGGATTGAAGGGTTGTTCTTATAGAGAGGGAGAACATACAAACAACCCTATTGTGGTGTCTCGAAGTGTACGAATGGTTTGAAGTACATGGAAAAAACTCTTTTCATGAATTCTCTTTCGAATGAATGAAAAAGTATATAGGATGGGGTTAGATATAGAATAGTATAGCGCATGTAATGTTGCATACAACCACATTTCTGTCAAAATTTTCATAACTATTTGAATGTGCTTGAATTTCGTTGATGTCCAAAGCACTGGCGGTTGTAGGCTTATTGAAATCGATCTTAATCATTCCAGTGATGTCAAGTCACATACTGCAGGATAGTGATTCCAAAAATCAGATCGAATATACGAAATGAAATGCCTTACGCGATAATTGATATGTAGGATAAGTGGACCATTCTGTTGGAAAGAAATGTTGTCCCATTATATTATCTTAATGAGAGTAATTCGGTAATAATAGTCCAATGATGCCCAAAACACAAAATCAGCACCAAACAGTGACATATTGTGGATGCATTTGTGTTTTGACAATAAAATGTGGATTATCGGAACCCTCTGAAATCAGCATCGACTTGTGCCTCTACATTTTGAAGTATCAATTCATACTATTTGCAGGCACCATGCTATTATTATAGTTGCACAATTCCTGAACTGCACTTGGTTGGGCAGAATCCGCTATGGGTAGTTTTACTAGGGGGACCTGTACCATCATCCTGCAGCACTGCATTTGATGTATACGCATGTTATCTTTACGGCCGAAATTTTTAACGCATCTATCAGAGTGAAACCTATTTTAAGGGATCTTCAGTACACGCGATATTAAACTGACTTCTGAGACTGAGTGACCCCTCTCTTATACGTTCTTTTCTGCCTTCTGCAGAGGGATATTGCAGAAGGTCAATATAAAAACGTACTCCAAAAGCCTCTTCGTCCATGCAGCTGAAGGTCTTTCAAGGTTGAATTCGTTATTCTTCCAAATAGCTGTGTGAATCAATGAATGTCATTCAAGGTCAGGTCCAAAACACTCCCTCAAAGTTACCTTGACCACATCGTGTGACGTATGTGAAGGTCGTTTCAAAGTTGAAAGTGGTGGGGGGTGGTTCCGAAATCGGCTTAAACCTACTACTATGATGTTGTTGATCTACACAACGAACTCTCTTCGTTATGCATGACCAATAGGCTTCCGTTCTTGCGTTACTTGAACTCGGTTGAAATCTGGAATGTTTATTCAATAATAAATTTTAACGACATGTTTTTGGATGGTCAGTGCCCGCCAAACTTCAATAATTTTTTTTTGAGATACCATTCAACAACGAAAACACGTTAAACTCTCGTACAGTACTCAATTTTTAATAACCCTAAACTGTCAGCTGTCAAAATTTTTGTTCAATCAGGCTCAAATCGTCGTACATTTCGGGACACCCAACAAAGATATTGTCAATGTATTCATGTTGTTCTGTGTGAGTAGCTGCTTTGTTGCGGATATGGAACTTTGCCAAGACTTTGTCACATTCGACGTGAGAGATCTTTTCATGATTTGCCGTTACGTGATGTAAGAATTATACTGGTTCATTCGAATAAGCAGTAGTTCTTTGGGGACACGTCCATCGACACTTGCATGACAACTTATGCTTGAACAACCTGTGGTAATCATTCCAGTTTACATCGTATCGAGAAAATTCATGAAGAGTATTGAATATAATCAATTACGAGATTTCCAGATATACATATACAACACAGAAAATATTAGGTTGTTCCAAAAGTTTTGTCCGTTTTAATGTCATGTATATTTATAGTTCCATATTTCAAGAAAGATTTATTCTACTGTGTCGTGGTATACACTGATTCATAGATAATGAAACATTCTATACATTGATGCTATACATTTTTTTCAAAATTTTAATTCTTTACTCCTTCTCAGCTTATTACTATATGATATTGTTGTAAATCAAGCCCGAAAGGAAATAACGACGGCCGCCGCTGGTAACCACAAACCAAACGTGTCGTAGCTAAGAGCGCGGAAATGCCCAATGTTCCCTGTCGCTCAAGAAGCAGCAAAGAACTTCGACGAAATTCTATGATGTTCCATTGCGATATTTAAACGCTAGCTGCAGACAGTCAAGTGGAAGCAACAGTGCGGTACGCGAAGTGATCTATTAAGGCAATAGACATTCAAGCAGTACAGAAGTATTCTTGAGACGGTGCTTGTGCGAAAGTAGCGATTCACATTGGATTTGAGTCGCTGGAGATTAACTCCATTTGGAAAAACGTTCTCTGCCTTATCAATCATACTCTCCTGACCACTCGCCCACTGACTATCGTCCTGTCAAGCACTTCGATAACTTTCTCACCGATAGAACTTTCGCCAATCAGGACCAGGAAAAAACAGCCTTCATCTACTTCAACGAATTCCGAGCATCTGATTTTCATGCTGACGGAATTAGTCGACTTGTGTTACGTTGGCAAAACTGCACTGATCCAAATGGCGCTCATTTTAATTTCATTGAATGAGTATTAACTATGATATCACAGTTTACAGTAGACTCATAAAAACGGACAAAACTTTGAAACAAACTAATAGAAGTAATTGTATTTTCTCTCACTTGATATGATTCAATTTCAAAGTGAATAAAGAGTAACCTAGGACTGAAGTATACGCTCTTCGAACTATAACCAGTTACAGTAGTTTTTTTCGATACTATGGTGAACAGGTAGGTTTCGCATTTCATTATTTCAAAGCTAACTTGCTACACCAAACTAAAACAATACTTTCTATAGATTGTCAAGTAGGTACATGCTTTCCAGTATTGCACATTACTACTTGTTCTGTGATAATTCTCGTTCTCTGATATAAAATATGACAAAAGCGTTGCTTTTTCTTTCATTCGTTGAAAAACAAAGTTAACCGGTAGTAGTAACCATTCCAAATCGAATAGAAAGTACCCCAACACGTTGAATCCCACAGCCGACATTCATAGTTGCTTCTGTCGCTAGTTCATACTGCTCGCTAAATAATTCCAAGCGACACTAACACTATCTACTTTCACAGACCGCCTTGGTGTACCAGCTCCAAAGAAGAGTACGGACTCTTCGGGAACAAGTCCAAAGAAAGGACCTCCACCTGGATTTGCTCCGGAGGAAATTATCCCTGCAAGAAGACAATGCCAAGACGAAGTGTCTGCTCCAGAACGAAAGAGACGAAGCCAATATGCGCGTCAAGAAACTTGTGAAACAAGTCGACAGGCTCCAGTTGCAATTGTCCGAGGCTAAGAGCCAAATTCGCGATCTGAATTCACAATTAGCTGAAGCAGCCGATTACAAGGTTGATGAAATCCACAATTCTTATAATTTATTATTATTATTAAGCAGCAAAACGTGTTTTCGAATCTAAACTGATAGTGTATAGAATAATCGTGAAAATATTTATTATTTGAAAGACATTTTTTATGGAGAACTCAAAGTTCTGCTTTTTGGACATATTAAGTTCCACAATTTGAAAAAATTGTGGAACTTAATCTGCTGGAATATAATAAAGAGCAAACCGCAAAGTTCACCCTCAAAAGTTACTGCGTAATAAAAACCACTGAAGGGTCCAATTAGTCAGTACCTTGTTCTCATAAATGAAAATAAAATTTCAATACTTTGCCTTCTTTAGGGGTCGATGTTTCAGAAAATGATCTTTTTCAGTTTACAAAACCCAAAATTCACTTAAAAACTTTTGCCTCAACTGCGAATAGCTATATTTCCTTCGATGTATCCCAGAATTATTGAATGTCCAGATGTCGTATGCGGCTTCAATTGAGATTCATATTTCCATGTTCAACCTCTTGTTTTAGCAATGACAAACAGTTACGATCAATTTCCACAGGCCTATTTGAAATTCGTGGTAACCTGCTAAAAGAATATAAGCGGATTCTTTGAGTTTTCTAATTTTTAATGAGCTTCCTCAGTGATACTTTTTGTTTCACTCCTTTTTATATCGTGATCACCCCAGACGATTTTAGGACATGCTCCGCTATCCCCGATTCTGTTATCGGTCTTATCCTCGTGTATTCACGATGTTCATTTTTTCTCACATCTATAGTCCGTTCATAATTTGTCGATAGCACAAAATGAGGGCCCAAGTCATAAAACGGTCGTAAAACTCGTAAAATCATAGGCGGAGGTTCCTGAGGTTCCTGAGGTGTTTATTCATTAAATATAAAGCTTCAGTTTATATTCGAAACTTGCCTTGAGAGGGTGAAGTTGTTACGAACGAAAATAATTTTTGGTTTAGTACATTTTTTAATCGCATTTAATTTACGGCTCGTTGGTGTTTCGGCGTCTACGGCAGTAATTAACGTCTCTAATATTTATTTTGCGAATTTTGGGCAGTGCGTGAGTAAATTTTTTTCATATTCCTACAAACATATACGTACCTTTCGTTCCTGCTTGTTTTGTTTGATTGCTTGCGATGGCTTCGTCATCATCATCAACATCATCAAGTTTTACATCGGTACTGTTGCGTACAGTCAGTAAGTCTGTCTATTCACCAAGAGAGAAGACTATTGTTTTGAACGTTCACGATGCTCTGGTTTCTCAGAATCCCACAAACACTGTTCAGAACATAATCAAGAGTTGTGCCTACATGACGGGCGTAGGGGAGTCAAATACAAACGAATACTTAAAGAGGGGGAGAAAACCTATTGAAATTGATGAATTTGCCAAAAATGGTATTCGAAGGAAAATTCACGAATTTTTTTACAAAAAAGAAATACCCAACTTAAACAAAATTTTACAAGAAAAATTTCGGGCTGAAGGAAGGCCAATTTACTATCAGGACGAAACGTGGGTAAACGCAGGTCATACTCTCACAAAAATTTGAACAGATAAAAATATATCAAGCTCCAGGCAAGCCTTTATGGAAGGTTGGTCTACTGGTATTTCCCCACCCTCTGGTAAAGGCAGTAGATTAATAGTTTCTCACATTGGCAGTGAAAAAGGATTTGCTAAGCATGGTTTGTTGGAATTTGAATCCAAAAGCACAAAAGACTATCACGAGGTGATGACAGCTGATGTTTTCGAAGAGTATTTTGAGCAGATGATTGAACATATACCACCAAACTCAATTATAGTATTAGATAATGCACCTTATCATTCACGACTAGTTGAAAGACTTCCAACGACTGCGTGGAAGAAACAGGATATCATTGACTGGCTGCGGAATAAGTCCCTGCCTTACGAAGATGGAATGGTTAAAGCAGAACTTTTAAAAATTGCCCGGCAACACAAATCTAAGTTCAAGAAATACGTAGTTGACAAAATGGCGGAAAGACGAAACATCACAGTCCTTAGACTTTCACCCTACCACTGCGAATTAAATCCAATTGAACTCATTTGGGCACAAATGAAAAGCTATGTGGCTAGAAAAAATACGTCATATAAAATACAAGCTGTACGTGAATTGTTATATGAGTCTTTACAACATATTTCAGAACAAAATTGGCGAGATGCAGTAAGACATGCAATAGAAGAAGAACAAAAAATGTGGGATCTTGACAATATAATTGATGCGACTGTAGAGACACAACCGCTAATTATTAACCTGCAAGACGACTCGGATTCCGAAGATGATCCTGTTTATTTTGAATTTGAATAGTTTTGTAAGTAATCGTAGTTTATATCATTTAAAAATAGGTAATAATTAAATAAATGTATCTTTTACAAATTGCAAGTAACTTATTATTTTTGAATAAAATAAAGAAATTTTTTTAAAATAAAAATACAGTTTACAGTACCTACAGTTTAAGAATATCATTATATTTATTTATTTAAAGTAACTAATGTTTTAATCATATACTCTACGACACTGGTCACTCATTTCCACTCAAAATACCTACATAATCGGATTAAAAGTTTTATAGCTGTATTGTATTTCTTCAGATACAAGGTGGGTTAGTCGAAAACATCTTCTGCCAGTTTTAGTATGGTTTTTGTTATTATATCATATTAGCTGTCCTCTCTGTATTTCAGTTCTCTAATGAGGGTCAAACTTGCAGTGAGCTATCAACAAATTATGAACGGACTATAGAGTTCTCGAGATTTCGCCTATATAACTTTTTCTACACTCTTTAGTTTTTTATTGTATTTTCGGAATTAGTGTTGGTAGTTAAAAGTTGTTTTAACGTCATATCTGTAGCCGATGCGTCTCTCAGACAAATCGGAAACATTTGGTATGACCTTAGTTGTGAAGTATGATTGTTGTTATTGGGTTTGTGATGATTGTGGAATTTGTATATGTTGTGTATTGCTTTCACCAACTCCTTTGAGAGCTCTTTCGTCGAACTTCTCCAGATACTTGCTTTTCTCCAAAATAAGTTATTTTCTCTTCCAGATTACGAACAGAATTGCCAAACTGTCTTTCCTTCATCATTCAAACATCTGACCTTGTGGATGGTTATATACCCAAAAACACTAAGAAACTCTTATTTTCTTTGGAGATTCATTGAGGCTCATGAACAAGCAATGATTGGTTTTACTTTATTCATCAATATTCAAACTGAATAAAATCGGGTTTATAACAGAGCCTTGCGGTAGACCGCTATTTACACAGAGACATTATGATGTGGGCCAAGCTACTTACGTTTATTAATGAATTCATCCAATTTTAGTGATATAGCCAATAATTCCGTATTGCATCAACTTTATTTTGACTTTGAAATTGTTTTTTCTACGTTGACCACCTTTCGTTCTCTTATAAATGACATCCTCCAAAAATCCAAACCCATTCATTCATGCTGATAATAACGAGGTGATAATAACGAGGTCTTATATTTTAATGTGAAATTTCTAGTACATGATCTTCAAACGAGTCTTATCAGTGATTTTTCTGTAATTATGCTTTACTATCAGAGAAAATTAGTTAATTTTTTTTTCGTCGTCATCCTCGAACAGTCATTGTTATAGACGAAAAAGAATTCGTGTGGAAAATCTTAGATTTCAACCAAGATATACTGAGGAATAATCCGATTACCTTTAACCAGAGAGAGGAGGTAAAGGAAATACAGTGGCAGTTATAATGATTCTACAACCACCTAAACTATATTTCCTTGATGAATCACTTTCCAATTCCAATTTCCCAATTAGACCTGTGAGGATGTGTATAAATAATGCATACCAATTATCAAGTAATACTAAAAACACATCTCTTCCTGATAACCTCAAATAATAACCTCATTATAATATCTATTACCTAGCATTTCGCCAGCTGGTTGGGTATCTCTTAGACAGAAACTGAGTCATGATGTTATAGATTTGCTTACAAGTTGTCTATCTCAAAATTATTACCAATTCGAAGACATCTTTTATTCTTGGAGATAAGGCCTCGTGATGAAAAACTCTTGCTACCTAAAATTTTCAAGGATGACCTAGAGAATAAAATAAATCCATAAGGATTATTTGATTAGCAACTTCTGACAAAATGGTTTAGACTTTCGCGCCTGAGGTTTTCAGTGTCACTGTTTTTCGAGTTTGAAAGCCAGAGGTTTAACTCTGAAGCCATGATGGCTAAAAGTCTGAAGAAGCTAGCCACTCGCGCCAGCGAAACGTCAGGAAGAAATTCCAAAAATCCACGGCTTTCAAACTCGAAAAACAGTGACACTAGCAACTTCTTATACAAATGCAAATATGTTTATTTTATGGCATGTTTCACAGGCTATTAAATAGTCCACCTTCAGGAACCAATTTTCACAGAAAACTGCTATCAAAATGGTTTCATGGTGGGTGTTGAAATCATTTGTCCTAAAAAATACGAATACAAGCTATAAACTATGTCTGTCCAACGTATAACGAAGGTGAGCATCATAGAACATTGACCTACTTTGGTGAACCCCCTGATAAGAGCTTACAGGATGAATAATACTTTGGGCATTTTTTTAAAAAAACAATGAAGACAATGTCTTAGTGACAAATATGTTAGGAGTTTATAAGTTGACTCACAGTTACAAATTTTACATTGGTCAAATGGGGAGATCTACCTGAAAGAGAATAAATGTTATAGAAGTAGATATTTGAATTAGAAGCCAAATTCAATATATGAATAATTTTCTCAAGAGTGTCTTTATGAGCAAGATGTATCCTTCATGTAATATCTATGTTTCCAGATAACTGCTCTGGAAAGAGGCAGAAAGATCGAAGACCTCCAAAAACGCCTGATCGAATCCGAATCCCTAAGAACGAAGTACAACAGGAAGGTGACCTTGCTGAAGGATCAAGTGAGAGCTACAGGTGAGACTATCGAGCAGGAGCGCAACATAAGCGACCATTCGATGCAGCTCATCAGAGACGAGCTGGCCAGGGTCAAGGATAGCTTGTCGGAGGTGCAAAGGCGGGAGTCACAGCTGCAGACCTTCAAGCATTCTATAGCGAAGATTTTGGGAGTAGCGCTGCCGATGCCGGATTACGAGCTGGTGTCAAGGTAATAGGTGTCAGGTTTGGTGGTTTCAAGGGCTGAAATAGATATTTCGCAAAAAATCTTCTGAATAATAATTAATTATACAGAAAAACCTCATTTACATCCCTATCTCCAACGTTCAACAGCTAGCACAGAACTTTTGAAGCAAAGAAACTTGAATTAAAAAATAGATTTCCTTCTTCAGAAGTTTCTGTAAATCATTGCATAATGGAGGAAAACTATAAATTCAACAGAAAATATTTGAATTGAAGGGGTTATATTTTTAGGGTTTAGGGTTATATTTACATGGAACACTGTCATCCTCACTGGTATACATCGATGATTCGCCTTAAGACACTTTCCCTAAGGCTCTTCAGTACCAAATTGGACAACATTATAGAAAATACACACAATTCGTTCATGAATTACGATTTTTAATGTCACGGAATAAGCTTGATCTGCTTATGTCATCGATGACATCGTAATGACATTCATTCACCTATTTGATTTAATCTCAGCCAAGAGGAATCTTATTCGAATTGGAGCGGTTATATTCCCTCATCTTTTTTTGTATCAAGATGGAATAGTAGAAAGCCAAAAACTTTCTTTCCCAAAAATTAACCACTCCTAAAAATATAACACCTTCAATTCAAATAAGATTCCTCTTGGCTGGGATCAAATCAAATACGTGAATGAATATCATTACGATGTCATCGATGACATAAGCAGCTCAAGCTTATTCCGTGACATTAAAAATCGTAATTCATGAATGAATTTTGTGTATATTCCATAATGTTATCCAATTTGGTACTGAAGAGCCTTAGGGTAAGTGTCTTACGGCGAAACATCGATGTATACCAGTGAGGATGACAGTGTTCCATATAAGTGCAATTTGTTACCATTCATTTACACTAGAACTCATGTGAATGATATCTGATTTTTATGTGATGATATTTAATTTTTTTTCTTTCGTGTAATTCAATGTTAATATTAAAGTAGCTGTTTCAGAAGGACTTTCTTTCAGTTTGTGTCTGAAAGTTACTTCTTTGCATGATCTACACATCCATGTATAGAGTTACTTATTTTCAAATTGATTTCTTCCTTCCTTTCTTTGGAAGATTTCCACATCTTTTGTTGTATGACGATGGAGTAGTAGAAAGCCAAAAACTTTCTTTCCCAAAAACAGAAAATACTTCTGTATAGTTTCTCACCCTTTGATTCTCGCAAATGTTCCTACATATTTTGAAATTTGTTACCTGGAATATATGCGAGAACAAAGACTAATAATGAAATTTTCAAGCCCACATGAACTATTCCACAGACTCCAGAAACTGGTGGACGCCCACCACGACTTTACTCTGGTTTCCCGGAGATACGATGATCCCGTATTGAGATTAACCTCGAGGAGTCCCACTGGAGGGAGTAGATGCACCAGGACCCCGGACAGATCCAGATACGATGATTCTGGGTACACCGACGCCGTTGATCTGGATGACATCGATGATGACCTGTTCAAAAGGCAAACTAGGCCTATGTGACGAACGCATTTCAGAGACTACTGAGTAGCTAAACCAGAAGTGTTCTGAATTAGAAATAGATACTTGAATTTTATTTGTTTCATAGAATACATATTTCATCTGTATCACCATATAATCAAAATACCGTTTTCTTTTACGAAAGCACCATTTTTAGTCTTGTGATGGAATTGGCCAACACTTTATGAAATTTTTCTGATTGATTCGGTCATAGTAATTTCATGATCAACATAGAAAATAAAGGTTTGAGACTGAATCATTTGGAACCAATGGAAATTAATAAACTTAAAACTTCAAACATTCTAATGAATGACCAACTGGATTTGAATAGATCACCATTATTCAACTTGTTTTCCTAAAAAAACTAAGGAAGTATTATAATTGATGTAGAAACTAAAAATTGATGTAGGAAACTAAAAGTAGGACGATTCTGAAAATTGATAGGATGGCTGAAGAACTAATGGAGAATTCAACTGAAATATTTTCGTTGAGCTGACGTTTCGGGTTTCACCAGAAGTGACGTCATTTTTGTTATTTTTAATGGCACACCCTGTATCTCACCTCATTTTTGAATTTTTCCCATGATTTATATTCTAACTCCGGTATCATATCCTTTACCCAAAATGAACCGTTTTCGAGTTATTCGGGTTTTTTTAGAAAAAGTGACAGATGCAGCCTCTCGAACATACGTCATTTTCATGTAAATTAACATTTTTAAAAATATGCAGCTAGTGAATCGTGATAATTGAATGTTGAACGGATCACACATCATTTTCACGTCCACTGAATGATCTACAAGTGCGCAAAAATTAGGGTCCAATAAGTGAATGAGAAAAATTAAAAATCTCAACTTTTTCAAATGGGAACCCCCATTTTTTTCTTCAAGGTTCAATTCTATTATGAAAATAAGCCCTAGTTATGATACACTTTCCTATACCCAAAACTTATAATTTTGGTGATATTCCGCAATAGAAGTTATTATCACGGGAGGATTTACGTTTTTACCCCCCCAATTTTGTCCGATAAAATTTCTTTGTTGCCTAGTTTCCATTGAATATCTCATGAAAAATAATAATCCCATATTCAAGACAAAAATCATGATTAGAATGAACAACAATTTCAAATTTAGTTTCAATGCTAAAAAAGAACATGTGACACTTTTGTCAACCGCTTTTTTTATTGCTAAGAATGTTCAAATACATTGCCTCCAACTTCTAAGCATTTTACACTTCTCCGTATAAGGTCTCCTACAGCTCGTCTTATTATGTCGGGTGGAATAGAGTTGAAAGCAGTACGAACTCTCTGCTGAAAATCTTCTTTTGTTGGTGGCGTGTTAGAATACACCTCGTTTTTTATATAACTCTAAATAAAAAGATCAATTGTAGTTAAGTCGGGCGATCGCGGTGGCCATAATTGAGGACCGTCAGTTCCAAACCACTGGTCGTTTCTTCTAAATACATAAATAAAATTTGAATCATATGACCTTCTATTTACTTGATGACGAAAAATTTTATGTCAGTATATATGTAAAAACTAATCAAAAATGAATATGTTATAAACTAATTAACAATTTTCTCATTCGAAAACCTATTTAACAGAGGGAAAGAATTCAATTCTGCTTGGTCATTCAGAAAATTTATCAAATCTGTCAATTCTTAAGCATTCCAAACTATTGATTTTCCAAACGTGGAACGTCATAGTCATGACTGAACCCATCAGAGTATATAAGGTCACTTCTGGTTTTTGCCCAAAACTTCATATTGGTCAAACAGGAAAAATCTTCACCTAAAAGAAGAAAAGAACATAGGAGTATTTTCTTGAATGTGAAAACCAGTGAGTTCAACAACCACGACGACAATGACGGATTACATTTGAAAGGGAAAGGTTTCAAACTCAATCTTTTGGAATACATTAGATTTAAGAATTATGGAAATTTATTGAATGACCAAATAGGGTTGGATATTTTCCTTAGTTGAATCTGAAAATTGGTAATCAGTTCACTTTATGTTTTATTTATGTCCAAAATGTTCGAATTCTCAAATAATTTATGCCTAAACCAAACAATTTTTTTTTAAATAATCACGTAGTTAGAAGGCCGAATAATCAAAATTGTTCTTGACCAGACAACTTCATTTTCCAGTTTACATTTGATAAAAAAATGCAGTCCTAATATTTTTCAGTTTTTTAAAGGAAATGATCAGTAAATCCAGTCGATAGCCTGACTTGCTTCCTCATTGAAAGATGTTATTTTATATTTCCAGAAAAATTGCGATTAGTGGAAGGTTCAATTTTATTATTACTCCAATACGTGTTCAAAGTATTAGTGCAATCTTGATAATTCGTGGAGACTGCGACTTAAATCATCGGTATATATTACAATTTTCAGGACATATATCACTGATTAGGATTACAAACATATCCCTTAGTAGTTTTATGTCGTCTTGTGATATTTAGATAAATTATCCATGTAACCACTTTTGAAATAATTAAACAACTATTCGTACTGTGAGTATATATTGATTTCAACTACAATTTTGAAAACATAAAATATCAACATAAGTATTTGATTTCGCCACACTTTGAAAAGTGTCTTCCTTGACTAACTTCCCCTTCAAGTGGTCTAAAACTGAAATCATCCACAAGGCGGAACACTGGTTTAGGAGAAAATTCAAAGAAGCCGCATATATGTTGTCCAAAAACGCATTTTTAGTCAAGCTAGCGTAGAGATACGCAACATATGGAAATCTATAATCAAGCGGAACACGGTCAATTCCCGCCAAAGGGTCAACTCCCGCTAAAACCGATGAAGTCGAGAGAGGCAAGAGGGGATAGGTGAAAGCACTCGAATGACCTATAAATAGTCAGATATCGTAGGAATTAGTCCAGTCTACTCCGATGACACGGCTCTCCTCTCGTCTTCCATGGGTTGGGAGCACGGGACCGTCTACATGCAACGTGCATTGGACGATCTCGAGCGCTGGTACCTCGAATGGAAGATCCGAGTGAACCCAGAAAAGACTCAGGTGATAATCATGGGAAGAACGATATCTTCTCCGGCCAGAAAAGAGAGGATATCTGGAAGGAAAATCGATTGGCAAGCGCGGGTGAAGCACCTCGACCTTCTAATAGACCGTAGGCTCACCTGGAACCTGCACATCACAACCGTGAAGGCAAAGATCGAGGATCGGATCAAAAGTATGTACCCTCTGATCAATAGACGATCCATACTGAATCTAAAGAACAAAATTACGATCTTTGAAACGATGTTCAAGCCTGTCATTGTGTATGCTTCAGGCGTCTGGGGACAAGCGGAACCGTCTAACATCTCCTTTCTGGAGAGATTACAAAATAAGCTAATACGGTTGATTGTGAATGTATTATTATTTACTGTAGACGACCCCTTCCGATATAGAAGATCTCGACACTCTGTGGAATGAGGCTCTCATGTCCCCCGTTAACAGACGAACAATGTTTCATCTAACCCATCTCAGGTAATTAGGGGTACACCGTGAAGGGCGGTACTGATGTCTGAGGATATTCATACCGCCATTACCCTCATTAACCTATTTGTACTTCTGACAAAAATCAGCTACAAAGGTAAAGGAGCTAGGCCTCAAAGAAATGAGCGGATCAAAATTTTAACAGACAGTAAGAGTGCACTAGGGGCTCTGACAAACCCAAAGGTGATCATCAAAACTGGTCTGGGAATGCCATGAAGAACTGAATGAACTTGTAAACAGGAACAAATTAACTTTGCACTGGGTGCCAGGGCATTCAGGAATCACAGGTGATGATCAAGGTGATGAATGCGCCAGACACGGATCATCAACTTCATATATAGGTCCTGAACCAGCTCTGGAAGATAGTGTTACATGTAAGTAACATATTTTTAATCAACACTCTTTCATATGCTTTCATTTCAAAAAATAGGGTGAATTTTTCATTTTTCTCAAAAAATATTCATCAACTTCATCTATTTCAAAGTAGTCCCTCTTAGATAAAATATACTTGTGCCAGCGGTTTTTCCAATCCTCGAAGCGGTTTTGATAAGCCTCAGTCATCACAAAACGCAATCCTTTCATGGGTCTCTTCAATCTTGGGAACAGGAAAAAGTCGCAGAGGACCAATCCTGGAGAATACGGTGGCTGAGGCATGATTACCCAGTTGTTGTTGGTAAAAAAATTAGGAACAAGCAATGACGAACACGCAAGTGCATTATCATGATAATTTGAACGTTAGTGATGTAAAACCATACAGTGACAAGTGTTGAAAAGGGGTACAGTGTGTCTTGAAACTTCTTTAGATGTGGTCCGCATAAGAGCTTTTAATTTGGTATTATTTTTCAGCACTTCCGGTGATTGGGATCCTTCAAATATTCACAAAACATCAAAATTATTTCCTTGTGGGTTACTTGCCATGAATGTTTAAAAAATATAAGGCCGTTGAGTAGTGCCATGAAATCATCATCTTCTGTGTCGCATTTTAATTAAAATTAACGCATACCGTGCATCACAAACATAAAACCATTCAAAATAGTGTTATCGCCGAAAAAAACGATCCCAAACAAGTTCGCATATACTCTGACTAATCGAGTATTTTTTTCCATGAATCAGAGCTAGGAAGGTCATACGTCGCATAAAAGACAGAGAAAAACAAATCCAAATTGGGCTACGTTGCAGTTTGATCTGTGACCTTTTGTCCTTCGCACACACCTTATGATATCATAGACACGAAAAAATATGTTAATACAATTATTATAAGAGCTTGAATGTTGTAAGAGATACTATTAAGAATGATGTTATTCCATTGTAAATGTTTATCGAGTCGAGGATTGAAATGTCGGAAGTTTACAACTGAGAACAGGATTTTATTTTATTTATGCTAGTGGCCTTGGCCTTCAACTAGACCAGGGGTCTCCAAACTTTGAAGCCTTCGGGCCATAATGATTTTTTCAGTTTGTTCCAAGGGCCAGTTTCTGCCCTTAACTATATTTCTAGACTAGGATAGTCGCAAAGTGCGTTTTGCATTTCAATTATTATTGTGTATTGTGACACTTAACGACATCTAGTGGCGAGTAGTGGTACTATGTACTATCTTTTTCAGCTACCCGCTAGGTGGCATTAGGCGTAATTAAATATTTGGAATTACCGCGTTGGTTCGAGAAAGTTCTGGTTCTAGCTAGTGGATTCCGATCACCTCGAGATGGCAGAAATAATTGCATATAAGAAGGCTAG